CCAGTAAACTATTTTCATATCTCGCTCTAATTTTGTGCACTTAGTATTCTACAAAGATCCATTGTGTTGCAGTTAATTAAGTAATAATATTTTTTGGGTGCAAATTTCGCTTTTGTAGAGCTAAGCATGTACTTTTTAAATTATATAATTTTTTTTGGTTTTGTTGCAAAAGTGATTAGTTGCACAGCACAAAATGCATAGCACTATCATACATGCGAAATTATACAGCTAATATTTTTTCATTAATAAAATATGTATAAGTTTATGTATGTAAATAACAAAGTTTTAATTTTTTTTTTGCATTCGCTTAAAAGTAGTTTAGGAATTAGGGTGGGTAGCTGAAACATCTGAAATTAAATACAACAAAAAATTAGCTTTCAGTTTACGATTCACTTGTTAAAGTACTACAAGTAGAAGTAAAAAAAAAAAAACAATAAATGTTGTGCGAAATAGGAATGCTTCAACAGTTAAAATCGATTAATTTGTACAGATAACAGACAAGATAACGCACAATATTAGCAAGAAGGATCTACACCTTTGTAAATACATACATACATTTACGAATAGTTAACCACCTAATGCATTAGCGATGCAATGTGCACAATGTTCTATTTGATATGTGATGTTTAGAAGAATTATGTATTAAATATTATATACATTTATATACATATAGTTCGTAATAAGACAAACACGTGTGCTTATAAAACATATAGAAAGCTATTAGCTATTAATTAACACTAACATAAATACAAACATAAAGTTAAAAATAATATTAAAAAAATACTCGATCTTATCACCAGAGACAAAACAAACAAGTTGGTGTTTACAGTGATTGGCTGTAGCTCATAAGTACACGTATACATACATATACATATCTATATGAGCGTACATTCAATACATACACAAAAAATTATAAATGTTGTAATATACGCGCACACACATTAAATCGCTGATGACTCACATTTTTTTTAATTATTACATACATACAGAGAGTTATTGCAATACCTGAAATGCATTTCTTTCATAATGCATACAAGTAAAAAAATAAGTCTTCAAACGCATATGTACATATGTGTGTTAAGATATTTCTCAATTTGATCATTAGTCTCTTGAAATGTGCGGATATTTGCGTAAGAACCAAAATATACAAAATTGGTTGATTTCTCTTTACTTGCTGTTTTTATAAATGAAAAAAGTTTAAAAATTTTAAATTACTATTACACCTAAGTAACAATTTTTTTAATAAAACTTCCAGCTCATCAATAAAGCAAAGCGAACAGTGAATTCAGTATTATAACTAACGCTCGCGATAGCATGACGAATAGATACAACCGTAGCGAATGACGAATATCTATTTGAGATTCGGCTGTGGTGATGACTGGTGGTGCGATAATGACATCCGTCAATTATTATGATGACTGACAATTATACAAAAGTCAATAAAAAAAGGAAGTCATGCTAAGACCTCAATACAGAGCACGCTTGAGTTAGCTTGCATACTTTTACGAACAGAAATTCTGACACTTGGCTTTCGAAATGTTCAATGTCGTTTCAACAAGCAATTTCTAATCATTTGATTGAGAAAAGTTTAAATAAAATGTTCTTAGAGAACATTATTTATTAAATTTGTTTCTTATACCCTCAAACTACTCGTATTTCAATCGATAAGATCAGGCACGTTGAAATTATAGCCTAGAAATATGTATTTGTATGTACGTATAAATTGCAGTAATAAAAAAAATGTTAAAAAAATATTATTATTTAATAAGAAAGTAGAAACCCCAAAAACTCATTTTGATGTATATAGAAAATATAAAATAAGATATGAAAATAAAAAAATTTGATTCTTAAAAAAAAAAATCAGATAAAAAAAAATTATTAAAAAAATATGTTTGTTTACTTCATTAAAAAAGTGAAATAAAAAAAAATTGTTGTAGCAGAAAAAATATATAAAATTTAAATATTCTTATATTTTAATATAAATTTTCGTAAATTGTTAGACATAGGTATTTGACTATAAAAAAATGGTTATTTTTACTAAAATAAATAAACTCTTTAAGAAAAATAAAAAAAATTCTTTTATTAAAAAAAAGATAAAAATTTATTAACAAAAAAAAATAATTTAAAAACAAACTTGTGTTAATTATAATTTCTCTTTATTTTTTTATTAAAACAAATAATAGCTAAAAAAATAGCTTTTTTTATTAAAAATTAAATATATAAAGAACTTTTTTTAAAGAAAAAATTAATTAATTTAAGATTAAGTAAAAATAAAAAAGTTTGACAATATATTTTATAAATGAATTTCTTTTCATAAAAAATTTTAGATTTAGTAAAACAGAAATATATATTTTTACATTTTAATCTCAATGTTTTTAAATTTTTACTTTTAATTGCAGAAAAAATTTTATTTTAGTAGTAAAAATTAAATATAATTTGTATCAAATCGAACGCTCGAAGAAATTTGGAAAACTACAATTAGAAAATAGAAAAACTATATACTTTGCTATAAGAAAACAAACCCAAAAACTTTATAATTAACAAGTTTTGAAAGAAATGCAATATGAATGCCATATTAAAAGCCCATGACCGATTACAACTCGCCCTCTAATACCAGGAAAGAAAATAGTACTTTTGCAAGTTTTTTTTTGCATTTTTTAGAATATATGTGAAAAGAAAATAGACTGCTTAGAGCAAATATAGAGAATATAAAAAAAACGGCAATAAAAAAAATTGTCTCATTTTACAAAGTTCTTAATGTCTAACTAAAAATAAAATAAAGTTAATAATGATATAGGGTACGTGATAAACGCGGTGGGTAGAATAAATACAGACAGAAATAATCCTAAGTAAATTTAGATTTTACAATCAGTGAAGAACCACGTTTTATCTTGCACGATAGAAATGACGTAAGAATAAATAATAGGTGAAAGATAAAAGTCTAATAGAGCATTCGAATGTCAAATAAGTCTAAAATATACCAAGACTGAGTGTTTGACGAACGGAGCTCAAAGAACTGCGTCAACAGCTCTCAATTTTTACAAGACATTTAGTTCTTTAAAAGTATTCATTCATTTATATAAAGAAAATATATATGTCGTATGTTATAAAAAATTGCTAGAACCTGAAATCTCTCATGAAATTTGGCGAATGTTTAGTAATTTTTTAGTTACTTAGTGAGCAACGGAATTTTTTAAATTTCCGTGGTGATTTAAATAAATTCAACGTTGACACATAAAAATATCGTATCATAAAGAAAAATATTGCAATCTTCTGATTAATCTCAGTGAAATTGCCACCTTAGCAAAAGTTTGCTAGAATTGGAAAACAAACGCAAAAAGCTTCGTTCCCATCAGCATTTTGTGCTGATAAGAAATGGTGTTTTGGTGACCTCTTCGCGGCAATGTAATAATTATGGTATATGAAAGTATATGTATTTTGAGTTAATCTGAGTTCTATAATTTATATATTTTTCAATTGTTACGTTGTGCAGAAAAATAAATAATCAAATATTTGTTTACCTTACTTTTTGGCGTGTAATAATATGTCTGGAAGACATTTTATAATATTTAAACCAATTGGTTTAAATTGCTGCTTTGAAAATTAAGACACTTAGAACTTATAAACTTAAAATCAATCTCTTTCTTGAATAGGGTAATGGAATATGGTTACAGTTTCTCAAAAATCATTCGAAAATTATCAGGTAATGCCTCGTTGCATCTTCTGTTTTGACTTTCCTGTTGCAAAAGTTACAGAAACTGTGCTTGAAAATTAAACTATGGATCGACTCAACACATTTTGGTTAAGGTTTTGACTATGAATCGTGTCAATGCTGAACTCGTACCAAAACGACGACATAGAGTAGATAGAGGTCGGTAAAGAGGTGCTTGACCAAGTAGCTGAGGACCCTAAATTCATTAAACGCCTCATTACTGGTGACGAGACGTGGGTTTATGAATATGACGTCAAAACTGTTCAAAATTCTAGCGGATCGTGCTCCAAAAATGAGCTGAAATTAAAAAAACCAAAATTCGCTGATGAGCATCCCAGCAGAGAAACCCCAGAACATCTGCTGATGAACTTCACGGCAGTCTGCAGACGCAGAATCAAGGCCCTGGGATCCATGTTTCCACACAGGGATTTTATCGCCTCACTAGCACCCAGAAGAATTCTGGAGTTTATCAACATGCTGGGCCTAGATGATTCGATATGACTTAGGGGAGGGCACAATAGACCATAGGTCGCGGTGCATACCTCAAAATTAATCTATCTATCTATCCCAGCAGAGGCTTACAAGCTTTATGGAAAATTGGCTTAAGCGTTGGTATGCTTGTATTGGTTCAGAAACCTATTTTAAAGCCGGAAATAAAGATTTGTTTCAAAAGACGTGACAATGAATTTCAGTCCGACTCAAATTTGATCAGATGGTATGCATGTTTGTATACATACAAGTATACCTAATGAGAATTTTTCATTAGTATTAAAAATTATATTCATGAAATATTGACTTTCGAAGTGTTTTTGAGTATAAAGAGTTTTGTTTAAATTTTTAAATCAGAAAATAGACACGAAACCCATGTAGACCCTTGAGAATGCAAAAACTAATAAACAGAACAGCGCAAAATTTTGTATAATATATTCGAAAAAAATTATGAATTAAAGCAAAAGAAAAAAGTTCGACTTAAGTACGCTGAAATGTCACTACGATGTGAGAATGTACACTTATACTGTAATATAATATATAAAAAAAGTTTGTATGTCGATAGGAAATCTTAGAACTACCACCATTGCGCGCATACCCACTAATTGATGTGTACAGACATATTATAACGGTATTGCAACATTTTCACCACTCAAAGCTAAATTACTTATGAAAGTACAAGATTTCGCCAAACTATAGTAAACTTAGTAGGTAAATACTAGTAAATAGATGTATGCGCCTATGTACTTCTTAATGAACACACACACACGCATGCATACAAGCACACCAGCATACATACCCTTGAACGCCCACTGCGCGTTCCATCAGCCGTGTTCGACGATGTAGAATCTTTATTTTTGGAACGTTCCGCTTTACTGGTAGCTATTATTGGCAAACCGCCACCTTCCATCATGGTTACAACAACTTTATTGTTACGACTACCGGCCGTTATATTGCTGCCACTAGGTGTTTTACCACCACCCGGTAGTGTGGTGGGGTTATTCTCTTGTATTGTTGATGGAAAACGCGATTTGCGTCCACGATTCGATTTCACTTCTTTATCCTTCCCTCGTTCCTTGTCCAATTCCTTCAATGTAGCGGGCGTATGACTTTTGGAACGTTTCAAAAAACGTAACATATGATTTTTTATACGCGTCGAACTACCGCCGCGCTGATGTAATTTGCCGCCACTCGAACCGCCATTGGTGAGGCTACTGCATGGCGGCTCAATGCGTCGAAATGTGCCATCGGCGGCGCGTACATAACAGCCGTCCGTCATTTTGTGGTAAGAATCGGACGGTAATTTATGGAAATTTCCATTTGGACTGCGATAATAACAATTGTTTGTTTTGTGATATCTATCGCCAATGGTTAAATGGCCGGACGTCTTGTTCTTAGACGCGCTGCTGCCATCCGTGACCGTAGCGCTAGCCGTTACATTTTCCGTTGACGGTATTGGTGTTGTTGCAGACGGCGGTGTAGCGATTGCTGGCGTTGTCGTCGTTAACAAGTTGCTGTTGGACCAAGTGTCATCGGCATCGTCACCGCTGCCAATGCCACCAATACCGCCAACACCACCAATGCTACTCGCGTCTTTGTCTTTACTACTGAATATATCACTGGTATTTAAATCTATGCGCTTGCCAATCTCACTGATCGTAACTGGCCGGCCATTGGCGAGACCTTTGAGGCGTGGATTGCCAACGCGCAGCAGGGATGATTCCTCACATGTGACCGTTGGCGGTTCCAAGGTGGAATGGCTGTTGTTGTGCACCTTCGACTTACGTATGGAGTGACTGCGATTGCTGAAGTGTGTAGCGGTCGACAAGCGATTCTCATTGTTTCTTTTGTCGTGATGGCTGGATAATTGGCCCATAACTTGTTTTATATTATATATGACAACTTTAACGTATACCTCTCGCCCCAGTTCAACTTTGCACATATTGGCATAAGTGAAGCCTGGCACTATGCACTTGTTTCTTTTTTTGTTTTGTTTTGTGGTTGTTGTTTCGTTTTATTTCAGTTTTGCAGACAAAACTTGTTGGAACATTTTTAATGCTCGTATTTACTTATATGTAGATAAGTATGTATATTTATAAATTTTTGGCATAAAAATCACAAAACTGTTGGCTGTTTACCTCAACTAGATTTTTAAGAATATAACTTTATATAGTAATTACATTGCGGCACAAAAAAAACGAGCGTTTGTTTGAAAGATAATTTTTTTTTTAAATGTTCGGCAGTATTTTTTTTCTCAAGCACACATACACACAAAAGCTGGAAAAGGTGAATTTTTTGTTGTGGCGCATAATATATATTTTTAATTTGTTTTACATTTTTTAATTTAAAAAAAAAATTTTGCATTTTTTTAAGCATTAAATTTTTTTGAATTTTTTTTAAGCATTAAATTTTTTTTTAAGCATTAAATTTTTTTTAAACCTCTGTTAACTGTTACAAACGGCATTAGCGGTAAAGCAAGCACGCATTTTTTAACAATTTCTGCTTCTCTAGCTTTCTATATACATATGTATATATGTATGTATGTGTTTGTATACATATACGAGTATATTTTATATTTTTGTATATAGTTTCAACAAACTTCCGACACTGCTAATATTCAACGCAATAGAGAAAACTAAAATTGCCAAGTCAAGTCTCGCACACACTTTGCCTTATTGCTTGGATTCCATCGTAATCTTCTTTATTCTTCTTATTCTTTGGCGCTGACACACAAATATAACTCCACTTGACTCCGTTGGGAGCTTCACCCTCTGCTTTCCGGCAGCTCCACGTTCATGTGCATATACTTATATATGTATATATAAATATGTGTGTGTGCCTTTTCGTTACATTTTCAAAAATACCAGTCTTACGTTGCACGGCTGGCAGTTAGTAAGCTTTATGGAGCTTGGTTTTTATCTAAATCAGCGCTTAAACCAACTGCGTCGCATAAAATGCAGTCACACACATACACATATACTCCTATACGCGGCTGTGTGCGTTTCTGCGCTCAGACTTGAGGAATTATTATTATTATTATTTTTTTTTTGAAATTGCTGTTGGGTGGTTTGTTGATCGGCGCAACTGAGACCACGAAAAAACAACGCACACATGTTTCGTAAATTAGAAGAGTGTGGGTACATGTAGATAGGTAGGTAGACAGCAAAGCTCGAAAGATTGTAGATTAAAAGACAGCAAAGCAAAAATATCGCTAAACAATGACAAAACGAAAAAGCTTAGCTACATACCTACAGCCACTATACGGTGCTTCAGAAAGCTATCTTGTTTTATATATTTTATATATGCCTGCTTGTGCGCGCTGTAGTTTAGTAAGTTAAGAATTTCAAATTTTCTTAATTAAAAGCTTTACTTTAAAGCAAAACAAGGTTTAATGCACAAACAAATTAAATTTATATAAAATTTAAATATTTTTAAAAAGTTTATTAAAATAAATATTTTATTTGCAGCACTCAAAAGGGTTTCACTTTTCTTTGCAGAATTCGCTATAATTTTAGTAATTGCAAAAACTAACGCAATTTTTGAACTCCGGCTATAAGCGCGTATTGCAGCATTACGTCAACTACATGCACACAATAAGCTACATACATACATGCATACAAAGTTGTATATGAGCACATGTTTTACACAGTGCTACAAGTGTGGTTTAGCTCAGCAACTTATCTGCTTACAAATTTAAAACATAACAAGATACCCTTCACAAATAAGAAAGTTGTCGATACAATAACTTCATTTTGAACATGCAATTTGAATGACAGCTACATATGTATGTATTGTATGTGGTATAGTGGTTCGATCTGAGAAATTTATTCGGAGAGCGTAGCAATATTCTATGGCAAATTTCGTGAAGATATCTCGTCAAATATAAAGTTTCCATACAAGAACTTAATTTCGATCGTTATTGTTGTTGTAGCGGCAGAAAACATTCTTGAAGTAATTTCGAGGAATGGTGCCGAGTTGATTGTACGTGGGCGGATACGAATTCCGGTCAGTTCCGCTTACTTGACACCGTCGTGGATTTCGGATTTCGATGGTTCAGTGAGTATGGCAGCTAGCTATATGCTATAGTGGACCAATATCGGCAATTCCGAAGAATGAGCAGCTTCTTAAGAAGAAAAGTTGGGCGCAGAATTTCAGATCTGTATCTCAAAAACTAAGGGAATATTACGCGTATATACAGACAGACTCAAGGACATGACTAAATCGACTCAGTTCGACAGCCTGATCATTTCTATATATGATTTAGAAGGTCTCCGACGTTTCCTTTTGGATATTATAAACTTCGTGGTAAACTTAACATACCCTATTCGCGGTATAAAAATAGCTATAATATTTGTAGGAGCTTTCAACTAGCGATATTTTGCTTTGCTGCTGTCTATTTAGTCTATCGTTTTCACTTTGCGCCATCATACTTATAGATTAGAGGGGATTCTTATGCACCATTTTTCACAACGCGTTTACGCTTTTTACGCTCTTTAACATACATTGAACTGTGTGGACACAGACACAGACATGTATGTGTGTGTGTGTATATGTTTGTTGTGTTGTGCCGTATTATTTCACTTCACGCAAAGCGTATAACGTACAAATTAAAAGAAGAAACACACAAAAAAATAGCACTTATTCACACTTGATAAATTTTTGATGTACATTATATATATATATACCTCTGTATGTATATATATGTCTAAGGCTATAGTCTACGAGCTTATTACGTAAAGTAAGTTAATCAAATTTTTTATTAAAACACATTAGGCACAATCATTGCATGCAAAAAGTAACAAAAAAAAAAAGAATAGAAAAAAAACAATATTGAAGAAAATTAAAGAAACTTGAAATCACTTAGTGTGGCAAAGCTCTTTTTGTATTCCAATTCAACTTATGACTAATGGTGAGCGGCGGGTATAGGTGTAACTTATGCACATAAGCAGAGTGTGTATATATTTCTTTCATCAATTTATTCAAATCAATTTAGTTTTCACAGACTTTAATGAATTTCACGCTTGTAATTGTGAATTGTGTAGCGAATTTGGTTATAAAATTTTACACATTTCCAGCAGCTATCGAGACTATCCGTCAGGCAGCAGCACTTGTTGATTAAATTATTTTAAATATATGTCTCTATATGCATACATGCATAGTATATTATATTTATGCGCTATATAATATATATGATCTATGCTAAGCACAATTACACGTACAATCACCATACAGGTATATACATATTTACACATATATATGTATGTATAAATATATATATATTTTTTTTATTATTATTATTAATATTATAAAAAAAGATATTGTACGCGCAGCACCGAACCGTTGAACGCTTCAACAACGAAAATTTTATTATAATACGAAGGCTTTAAACGCCGCCATGATACTGAGAAGTCTATTCAATTTAGACTTGTTCTCATACCACTGTCTGGCTGTTCGTACGCTGGCTGTGCTCCGGCTTTAGCACTGGCTCGGGCCAGCACGCACACTTTTTCATATACTCTTCACATGCATGAACACTCACACACACACACAGCTAAAGCAGGCAAAAGGTAGTTAAGTCACACAAAGACTCAGTGTAAGTACGTGTAGTGTAGTTGAATAGAAATTTTTTAATTCTCAACATTTTTTATTTTTTTTTTTTGCAATTCTCAAACATATACAAAAGAGAACGTTGAGTTGAAAAGCTCTCACTTCGATGAGGAAACTAATTTAGATTGAGACAAGTGTAAATATGAGCCACAAGCCACAAGTCAGAAGTCAGCAGCAACAGACAATACAAGTATATTTGTATGTAACTAGTCATTTTTTACTTTTTTTTTGTGTTTTCTATTATGTATGTTATGTCCCAGTAAACATCAAGCTTAAAAAAATAAAATTAAAATAATAATACATGTAATCTAATTAATGCGCCATAAAGGGCCACAATGTTGTAAAAATCTTAATAATAGTAAACAGGGTTGCGAATAATGCATTAAAAATTTGGTTGAATTAAGATTGAAATTAATTTTTTTTATTTTGTAATTGCGAAGATCTTAATTAAAAATAATTTTTAAAATTCTGATTTCAAACACCGAATTAAAAAATAATAAAAAGTTTTGAAGAACTAAAAGCGGTTTATAAATTAAAAATCAAAATTTTGATCCTAAAAACCGCATTAAAAATACAAAAAATGTTACTCCTAAGTTAATTAAACATTAAAAAAATATGTTTTTAAATTATTTCACGCTCGTGTGTTCTACCATTTTGGTTATCCGGAAAATTTTATTTAAAAATAATTTTCGAATTTCTGATACCAAATAGCGCATTGAAATAGTAAAAATTAGTTTAAAAAAAACCGCTAATCCCAAATTTATAATTAAAAAATTTTATTTAAATTTATTCGCGCTTTCGTACTTCGTGTTCTAACTTTTTGGTTATCTTATTAACGAATTTGTGACAAAATTTCAACTGTAACACTTTTTGTCTTATTTAAATTTAATTACTTTTAATTACAGTGTGTCAGTTAAATATATTTACAACTTTCCTTTTTATTTCTTTTCAGTCCAGATTTAGATTTGAAACATAATAATTGTTACTCCAATTTTTAAACTAAAAATTATTTTATCAATTTTTAATACTGATTTGGAATTTTATTAAAATTAATTTTTTATAGCAAAATCGGTATTGAAAACTTAATTAAAAAATAAATTATTTTTAATTCATAAAATTTTAACTAAATATTTCCCAACCATAATAGTAAGGTAATATTGCATTTTTCTGAACTCAACTGATAAATTAAATAGGCCTGAGTTTTGACTTTAGATACCTCGTTTTGTATTAGACGAAAGTATTATTTTGAAGTAAGAACTATTTTAATTTTTAAGGCTCGTATACCTCTGCTTTGTAGATCTTTGGTTTGTAGACTGTCTTAAAATCTCGGAAAATTTCGGTTCATAAGAGCATCTGCCTTTTATCTCATGAATTATGTAATTTGGAAAATATGTTGAACCCGTTCAATCATTTTCGGTTTTATAAACACAAAATGGTATTCACACTTTTAATTAATTTCCACTGGAAATATAAGCGGCATAAGATGAAAAAAAAAATATTTTCCCGGAAGCTTCTTGGGTTATGTCCACCCAAGCTTAGTAAGTGCACACAACTAGACATTGCCGCATGCATGTACACTTGTTTGAATGTGTATGTATATGTGTAAGTGTCAATGTGAACATATAACACATGTGTTTGTGCAATCTTCTGCCGAAGCTACACTTTTTTTTCAAAATCAACAAAATTTTTATTTTTATTGCAAAATGCAGGCAACAGTGTCGGCTAATGTATGCACACGAAGGTACTTGTGGGTGCGTACGATGTGTTTGTGTGCATGTGTGCGGTTTAAGCTCTGCTGCATAACCTCTGTGACAAGCTGCTCTCAATTTGCAAAAAACCTGCGCTTAATTTTAGAAACAAGCATTTGGTATGTACAACCAGATGAGCTAGTAAAGGTATATACTTGGTGTATATTTATGTAAGTAATCAAATAAACATTATTGTTCGAGCGTGGTTGTGTTGAATTTTCCACTTAGCGTACTTGAGGCGTTCATATTCTCAACGACACCAACAACAACCACAACATCAACAGTGGTGTTGAAGAGAGTATCGCTCGGGTCTATGTCAATAATTAAACTATCCAATGTGTCCAGTAGAGATTTGGCCTCTCTCACTCTTCCAACTGAGTGCCATTCATATAGCACTTAGCACTTTACTTTTCATTATCTTATGCTTTGCTTCTTATACATATTGCTTACGCTAGCTAATAAATACTAAAAACATATATACTATGTGTGTATGTATATGAGAATACCAATATACATACTTTTACTTAAATATATATCTATATGATTTGAAACTAAGTGGATATGTATGTGGTTACGTATGTATGTATTTGTGTAGCTTGAAAGCACGATATTGTATTTATATATATGCTAATGTCTAAAAAAAGCTTATCTTGTGATTTATCTTTTGTCGTTATCTTTGTTAAAATGACAACAGAAGCAAATATACACGGGTAAGGAAATGTGATAACGCCGTGATGTGATACTACGCACACATGTTAACATATATACACCTATAGAATAACTACTATATATAGGAATAATTGAATGTATATATATTTATATATATATATATAGCTAAACGCTATATTCATATGGCTACCTGCAACTTACAACCGGTCATGATCGAACAACTTTATTTGCGCAGACTTAGTATTTTTATCGTGAGAATTAAGCAGTTACATAGTTAGATATGTGCATATGCATTTAAGGTAAGGTAAGGTGGGTTTTGTATCCAAAATGGGGCACGTGGCATACTTATAAATTTCTTAACTTTTTATTATTTATTTATATATCCGAAAGCTTCTATGTAATTAGTGTTTTAAAGCTGCGTAAGCGGTACACTTGCACTGAGCTGCTATTGCGCACACACGCTTACGTATGTAAATGCTTCTATATTTGTATACTTGATGGCATCCCAATACTGTGTTTTAAATGTTTGAGCTTAGAAGAAAGCTAAACATACAAGACGCCGTGCTTATAACAACTTGATCATACGCATTTCACTATTAAATTTATTAAATAAAACAAATAAAAAAAGAAATATTAAAATAAACACTAAACTAACTAAAAACTCAGTAAAACAAGAAAAACAAGAAAAAACGCTAACTGCACCGTAGCTATAATATCCTTTAAAGATGCATTTCTTATTGCATTAGTATACAAATATATTTATCTTGATTCTGTCAGTTTGTATGGCAACTACATACATACATATATGCTATAGTGATTCGAAAACTGTAGCGCTTCCTTTAACAACAATCTTCTCAAATATACAAATTTTCCATACAAGGACTTAATTTTGATCGGTTAGCTTGTATTGCAGTTATATGCTATAGTGATATGATCTAAACACTTTCTTCGGAGATTATATCGCTGCTTGGGTCAATACCCTGTGTCAAATGTCATGAAGATATCTCGTCAAATAAAAAAGTTTTCCATACAAGAACTTAATTTTGACCGGTCAGTTTGTATGGCAGTTATATGCTATAGTGGTCCGATCTGAACAATTTGCTCGAAGATTGCAGAGTTGCGTTGGATTATAATATATACCAAATTTCAAAACAAATTTTTTCATATAAGTACTTATGTTTGATCGGCCAGTTTATATAGGAACTGTATGCTATAGTGGTCCGTAATCAGTGGTTACTACAAATTAGCAGCTTTTTGAGGAGAAAACGACTTGTGCCAAATTTCAGATCGATATTTCAAAAACTGAGAGACTACTACGCGTATATATAGACAGGCGGACATGGCTAAATCGACTCAGCTCATCAGCTAGGTCAACTATATAGTATATCTTTCGTAGAGTCTCCAACTTTTCCTTCTTGGTATTACAAACGTCGTGGCATAATAAGTTTGCCGTTCAGTGTAGTAATGAAATAATAACTATAAGATGCTGTTGGGTTCAAAACTGCAGGCTTGTATTTTGACAGCTGTCAAACCAGATTTTTAAATTTATTGTTTGTGGCATTTGCCAAAAAAAAATGAAACGTTATTAACAGCTTCAAATTAGTGTCGTGAGTGATTAGAGTAGGTTTCGAAAAGGTTTGAAAATTACAAGCATTTTTTTTAAATTAAAATCTTCACAGTTTTGAATGCATTGTATAAACTAATAATGTAATAATATAAATATGTACATTAAACACATTTCAGTAATAATTTGTAATATAATTGGTTTATTTCATATGGACATATTAATCAAACACAGGATACTTTCAGAGACTAAATTACCCCAAGTGATCATAAGCCATATATTTATTAATTTACGTCATTTAATGTAATCCAACCCTTTGTGTGTGTTTTATTTTTGCTCTTTTCGTATATATACATGTAAGTACATATGCTCGTGACAATTGCTTTGAAGTGCGCTCTCTACCTTTCTTTATCTTATCTTGCATTTATTATCTAGGAACCTATGCACATATTCACGTATATTTGTAGAATAAATTTCTGAAGATGTTTCTCGTGGCTGTAAATCTGTTTCGCATACACTTAGTACATATAGTACCGACTTATTTAACAATTTGCATGCCCTTCTTATGACATATTAGGATAATTTAATATTGTCATGTTATTTAATATAATTTAAAACGTTGTGATGTAGTATTCATAAATATTTGTAAGTAAATACATACACTACAATTTAATATCATGTATATAACAACAAAATATGTACATACATATATATTTCAAGTATTACGATGGCAATATTACGAGGCTAAAGAAATTTTTGTAATACTGGCGCCATGACACAAACAACGGTCGAATGACGTTGAAACTTTTCCGTAACATCCAAAATGTACACAAGTAATATATACATATAATTGTATAAGTGATCTAACTTATTAAACTTAAATTTTAGGGCAGTGAATGATTAAAACTTTTAAGTAAAGTAAATTGCCAAAGCTATAATAATGCAAAGAATCAATAAGGAAATAGCATCAATAGTACAGAATCTAATAATTTAGCATGAATAAAAACTATTCCACGACAATCAGGTCAACGTAACCGGAACAGAACCGTATTTTTAGCCGACCAAGCACTGTCGAATCGGCAGCATTACCGAAATTAATACAAGTATGTATGCTGCCACTATCACAACAACAATAACAGACGTAGGACTCAGATAAATATATAAATACGGTTAGTTTTTGTACCCTATTGGAGACTTATTTCGCAAAGAAAATAAAATAAACTTAAGTCGAGTTTCAGTGTTACACATGATCCATAATTGGATCTATGCGCAAGCCACGTCATTCTTGAAGCAATGTCGTTAATTTAACGGACCTTTTGATTTCGTTAGTTTTCAAAGGTTAGCGCATCAAGAAGCGTGATATAATAATAATAATTATATTTTTTTTGTAACTAACAAAAACACGTATTATTTTAGAGTTAAAAAAAATACAATACTACTACAAAATTTACTACGCTTGTAAATTCATAGAATCAAACTTTATTTGTAAACATTACATAATCACATAATTTTTAATGCAAGGAAATGGTATAAAGATCTTTTGAAGCTTTTGGTACTAATAAAGTTTTGATAATTTGTTTTTGCAAGTTTCTTTTTTTGTATATTTTTCATAGACTGTTATCAGTTGTTTTTGTGATATTTTATCGAGCTACGTACATACATACACACATATATGGTTACGTATGTAGACCCACGACACAAATTCTAAAACCATCTGTTCATCTACGCATGATCTACGATCTACGCTTTAAATAGTACTAGGAAGTACCTTTGTCTCATATTACATGCAAAGTTCACTCACCCAACGTGGTTTGCATGCGTTTCTTTTGTCATTGCATTTATTTAATCATACGCTCTGCTGCTTAATAAATATCTTATCAAAAACTGCATATGCTAGATTTGCTTTTTTTTTTTTTTTTTTTTTTATATTTAAATAATTCGTCATGAATACCCAATCACCTGATAATCGTAAGCACATTTCAAACAAACGTTTACATACAAACAAATTTTAAAAGCATGTATATGAGTTTAAAAATACAATTCTTTACTTATTATTTTGAATTTGGGTATGAACTGGTAGCGCACACTTTAGTAATGGAACACTTGTTTTAAACCGTTACCCATTTTGGCGAATCACTTTCAAGAAATTACATATGGAAGCGCACATTACAACTATAGTAAAACATCGAATTTGTAAGAGTAAATATGGTAAATGCAACTGACACTACTAAACCAACACATTTTTTACAGAAAAAAACTCATAGTTCCAACATACATACATACATATGTACTGATGTAGAAATGTAAATACATACATAAATATATCAATGAACCGCTGACAAAAATAATAAATTCTAAAATGGCATTTCCAAAAACGAAATGCAATTTTTTATTATTAAATATTTTCATTATTATTATCAAATATTTTAATTTTTAATTTTTTACTATTATTATTATAAATATGTTCAACATACTATTATTTTTTAAATATATTTTATTATATTTTTTAAATATATTTTATTATATTTTTTACATATTTTTATTATTAATATAAATTATTTTTATTATTATAGTCTAAATATTCGTTAATTGTTTTATTTTTATTTCAGAATTATTCAATAAAAAGGTTCAATTTAAAATATATACAAATTATTATTAAGAAATAGCGGCTTGAGTCAAAAATTCACGTATATGTATGAATTTACAAACATACATATGCACATATGTACATATTTACATAAGAACAGCATGTAAGTATTGAAGGTATTATCGATTTGTATACGCAACTATTTTGGGGTATGATGCTTAGATGTATGAGTGGTAAAATCATTATCATTACTGATATTTTGAAAAAAGTTTCACAATGAAATCTAAGCAACATCTACGTGGTAATGTAGTATGTCGTTATATGTATGTAACTGGTAACAGATAGTATGTTTACAAAACATGTGGTTGGGTGTAATTGAAATTGAAAGGCCACTTACCTTAGCTGAAGAGGTTCGCTGTTTCATCGATGCCGAATTCGAGTGTGAAGCCAAAATGTTTTTGTTTACAACCGGCAGCGGTGCAACACCAACACCTACGCCACCGCCACCACCACCACCGCCACCTCCAACACTTGTTATGCCAGAAGTGTGATGTTGATGGTGATTTATAACCGCCGCATTTGTAGACGTATTATTTGATGGCAATCGTCCACCACTATCTGTTGCTGTCGCATTATTCACTAAATGATGATGATGCTGATGTTGATGACTGTGTTGTTGTTGTGGTTGCTGTTGCTGCTGCTGCGATTGTTGTTGTGTTTGTTGCTGTTGTTGTTGTTGCGATTGGGATGTTGTATTTACGGTCGTATTTGTTGAAACATTACTCGCAACAATTGGTGTAGTTGCTGTTGTTGTGGCAACAACAACACTAGTTGTTGTAGTTTGTGGCAGTGCAATAATGTTGGCATTTGCCGAGTCATGTTGTTGCTCCTTGACTGAATGCACTGAACTATTGATGGTAGTATTATTGTATTGTTGTTGTTGCTGCTGCTGCTGTTGCGTAGTGTTTAAGGTAGTGGCCGTTAAAGAATTTGTCGTTGGGGTGTTTGACGGTACCGCAGCCGCATCCGTTGTGGCGGACACATGTTCGGTTGGTAGGGATTCAGGAACTGTTTGTAATGTCGCTCGCATTGTAGCAGACATTTTATTTCAAACAACGCCAACTTAAGCTTAAACTAACACAAGACAAAAATGGATAAAATTTTGCTTAAACGGTTGCCTTTTCCCGGCCTGTAAGTGTAATAATGTAGATGCTTGTATTTGTCCTCGCCAAATGCTGTTTTTATCGCTGCTATAACTCTCCTCACGCTGTACCAACAGTCTTTATACTTTGTTTAGTTTTTGGCATCAGTGAACACCAAAAATGTGAAATTTTACATATAGATGTTCACCAAGCCTTAGCTGCAATATTACTAGATAAATTTAACGACCATCTGTAAAAGATATGAAATAATTAAATGAATGAAAAAGAGTAATTACAAAATACTTGTTAAAAATTGTTTATAGAGTTGTTTTCAAGGAATTAACACTTTTCCAATTGTGGCTAAGATGTGCTCATAATTACAACATATTAGTCAAATTTTACATTTTCTCAACCGAGTTGTATTCGCGTTGTGGTGGAAAAATTATTCAACTAATATTATGTTTTTTTGCCGCTGTATTCAAGCACCGACCGATTTAAGCTTTATAACGTGCAGATGTATAAAGTTCATTCATTTTGGTTTTAAATTATCGATAGCAAGATTTTAAATCAAATTAGCACACAAAGGACAATGCACAACACAAACAATGCATACCTTATATGATTTCCGCAAAGCGTAATAAAATCAAGCGCTTAAATTATGAGCTAACTACAAATATTTATTGATTTACCACCAATATTATACTATTGATATGAACTTAATACTAATTCTATATTTCCTCAAATGGCAAGATTGCGTTTTATCTTATTCGGTAAGTAATCATTTATGAGAAATTTTTGTGCGATACAATGTAATTCATCAATATGAACTTTCTTTTGCAAAAGTTGCATTATTTGCAATTCTGCACGTATGGCAGGTTTTAAATACTTATAACGCAATATATTTTGTATTTTACTATTATCGTATTCGTTTAGCGACACAGTTGAAAAATTAAACATACTCAGTTCGGTTGGATGAATACCTAACCATTGCATACTGGGGCAAATTAAATTTTTTGAAATGTCATATGGCATTTTACGCGAACCAAATTGATAGATTAATAAAATGTCGATACCAAATGGATCTGCATCGCAAAGTGCATAGATTGGAAGCTTATGCTCAACTGAAAGGCGATGTACAATATGACGCGTACATAAATCGGGATAACCTTTTCCAGTAATCAAAATTATATCGTTTCCAATAGTTTCAAATATTTTCTGTGATATTAATTTAGAAAATATGGTATCTTTTTCGACAATTAGTACAAAAGATGCACTTGTTTCCAAATGATTGATAGCATTATGATCTTGTGGTAGTAAAACAGCACCAGAATGGGTATAACAGTCGATCATGTCACCATTTATCATAAGCAAACGTATTGAACCTATAAAAATAAGAAATTAATATAACAAAAAATATTTTAAACACTATCTAATTAATAAAGAAAACCTGCAATTAACCCCTTTCCAGATGCGGATATGCCCAAATTCCATGGTGTTGTCCGTAAAAGTTCACAGACATCTTTTAAACTGGTATAAATATTGGTAGTTTTGCAATTATTGGCCGGATCTTTGTAATAAAGTTCTCTTAGTGAACATTTGTCACCAGCCAAAAGCAAGTTATGTACTTCCATTAATAAATAAAAGCATAAAGAAGAACGTTGGAAATTTGCCATTTTGCACGATACAATGCGATCGAGCAGTGCTATAGTGCGCATATTTTTACGAAAACGAATCTTACACATTCTTCGACTGCATAAAATCAGATTCTCCAAAAAAATAACGACAATTTGTTCAATATTATTTACCAAAATTAAATTCTTCATGCCAGAAATCTTAATATGAATAAAAAAAGGAAGAAATTAGAAAACACAAACGGAATATATTAATATGGTATAAACAGTTGAAATATGTATTTTACATAGATTTTTCAAATCCAGAAATATTTCCAATTCAAATTAATAAGAAATACAATGAAATTATTTGTTAAAAAACAAAAATATACGTTGCTGTCCCGATTTTTTTTCTTCATTAAATAATCATAGTCAATAATTAAAAAAAAAATATAAACTATGTGCGAATATCTTTCAATGCTTGTTATTCTTCCTTGCTTAGGTATCAACATTAAACAAGTTTTTCAATAACAATTTGACCTTTCTTTTTTACCGTTTTGATTTGCTTGCGTTTCCATTTTTTTTATGTTGAGACAAAGAAACCTAGTTTGTATGTTTCCATACTTTTTCACCAAATACGTTAAGGAAAAATGTGTATTCGTGTATACACGCCTTACCTATATACATATATCTCAATATTGGCATAAAAACCAAATCTTCACTCAATCTAGGCTTTTGATATTTCTTCTAACTAGAACGATTTTATAAGTAATTTAACATAGACTTTTCACAAACAGTAAAATTTACCAAAATGAAATAAGCTTAGCGAATAGTTGGTTAGCAAACATCAACATAGCAAATCTCATTCATAATTAGTACATTTTATAAATCCTAGGATATGATTATGGTTCTCTAATTTTCGTTTTAAAATTATATGATAATAGAAGTGGGCTGCCCTCATATTATCGATTATTTTTATTACGCCCTTCCTCCTTCACTTACCATTTACATAATTTTGTTTTATATTTCATATTCCCAATTTCCAAAATTTTAATTTATAAGACTTTTAATAGAGAACTTGTATATATAATATATCTATTACTTGAAATCAGTCACTAAAAGAATTATAAAATTTGTGGATTTCTCTTTTAACATAAAACTCTGATGCTTCGTACAGATCGGATACATCAACACACCGCTGCAGTATCAAGGCCGACTCAGAAGCATTGAAGTCGACGTCACACGAACTTCGACGCGATATCTTCTTCCTCTTTTACTTATACATATGATGTATCTGCAGGTTTTTTCGCTCGATTGTGCCCGTTCTTAAATGGGTTTTATTTTTATAACAATTGCCCAGGAAATAAATATGACAATACGAAAATTATAGATTTCTTTTCACACGCGAACACTTACTATATGAAATATATGCCACGGGTCATTAGCGAACGTCCCGAATGAAAATTTACTAACTTCCACACCTTAGCCACACACAAAATTTTTATGCACTTTTCTTTATATAGTTTTTTTGTATTAGCAACACCATATCAAACGTATTCTTATCAAAAATTCGCGATACACACCTTTCTGGTATTTTCAATTACTATTTTAATTAATTTAATCTGCAAAAAAACTATTTTACTTCACTTTAAAATTACTGCAGTCTGCAGGATCTTCCCAAATTTTGTAGATATACGTACGAATGGCACTCACACGAGCGAAAAGATGGTCGCCATCTTTAAATTCAGGTATTCGTCGCAACGACGTCAATAGCATATGAGTGGCCTGCCACCTATTGAGATATATGGCAATTCCCATATCATATATGGCAACACAGAATTAGTTTCTGATAGGTTTGCAATAAGTTTTAAAAAATTACAACATAGTAATAAAATTGCGTTTATTTAATTTTTTTAAGTGCTGCAGTATGCTTCCAATGAGATTCGCGTACTTAACATTATAAGTTTTTGCATGTAAACAAATGATTCTTAAAATAATAAATTTGATGTAAGTAGAGCCATCAAAAATATTAATTTTTTTGTAGTAATAACAGAGAATGTAGATCATATTTTTTTTAATCTCTGTAGATGTTGATTATATTTTACATTCTCTGGTAATAATATCTTAAATGTATGTAATTTTTGAAATGGATAAAAGTTTTAACATAATTAATATCACAATAATTTATTATTTGGCAATGTTCGCGAACTCATATCATGACATAATTGCCATAGTTACGAGATTTGTTTTTCCATAATCACTCAGAAATATAAGTAAATACCCTAATAAAAAAAAAACTATATAGAAAGTTTAAAAATGGGAATGTTTAAAAAGATTTCGACATTTTTTAAGAATAAATCTGAGAAAGTTACAATTCTTGTCATTGGCTTAAACAATAGTGGAAAATCAACAATAATAAACCACTTTAAGTCGCCACAGGAGCAAGCTGCAATTACAGTTCCAACAGTGGGATTTTCTTTGGAGCAAATAAGAAGTACTTTATTGAAATATCTGTTAAATACCTAGCTGCTAATGGTTTTTTTTTAAGATGAAGGCGTTTTATTTACAATGGTAGATACATCTGGTGCATGGCGTTATAGAAGCTTATGGGAACATCATTTTAAAAATTGTCATGGTATTATATACGTTATTGACTCAAGTGATCGCATGAGATTGGGTAGGTGCCACGAAAACAGTGAACGGAAAAGAATTGCTTATTATATTTTCCCCTACACATTTGAAATTGATTTATATATATATACAATTTTAAAAAATTTTCATTTTAAATGCTTATTGTTTTTAATTGATCTTATTTTTAATTCAGTGGAGCAGTAAAGACTTAATTTTTTAAAATTTGAGTCCTGTTATGTTCCATTGTTAAAAACTAAATTAGCACACAGTTAGAGATATAAGAAAATTAGTTCTTAGTGTATTAATTAAAATTTCGACTGTAATTTGTAGTTGTGGTGCGAGACGAACTAGACACGCTTCTACAACATCCCGATTTAGTAAATAGAAGTATACCCATACTTTTATATAATAATAAAGTGGACTGCGAAGATTCTTTGTCCAGTGTAAAAATAGCAGCTGGTAACTATATATAAAAGCTAATTAATATGTGCAGATCTTAACTTTAAATAATTGGTTTTATTTTATTTCCTTTTTTAATTAGCATTGGGCTTGCACAATATTGTGGATAAGCCTTGGCATATAACACCAAGCAATGCAGTGACAGGCGAAGGCCTCGAAGATGGTGTCCATTGGTTAGTGCAACAAATTAAATCTATGAATTCTCATAATAAAAAGCTTAAGCGTTGATTTAATTGCAACAATCGTTGACTAGTAATATAATAATAATGAGAATGCAAAAAATATATTTTTAAAGTTAAGGCATAAATACATTTGTTTTTGTTTATTTGAAAACTTGAAAAAATTTTAAAATAGAAAAGTAAAAATGCTTAAAATGAATCTCAAAATTTCGCATTACGCATATTTAGTTAATTGCAGAAAATTTTGGTAAAAACATAAGTATGCACACAGGGTTCCCAATGGATACATTAAAATGTATACAAAATTTGAGAAAACGAATAATGTCAGATCTAATTGTCATGTCATTTAAAATTGAAGATTCTAAAACTCATTTGGAAAGCATTAATGAATTGATATGATGATCATTGGTTTGTTGATTGCAACTATAAAAGCTTATAATATGCTGATTGGTTAGTTTTAGGCATAGCTAAAGGAACTAGATCAATACCAAGATGTAATAAATTTAAAAAATTTACAACAAAACCTTGACAACGAGATGGATTATGAAGTTTATAAAATCTTTATTATCACTCTATTGAACTCCGAAATGTAATTAAGGTGACATGATAATTAACGTTCTATTTAATCAACTGACCATGAAATGTCTATAAAGTAGTTTTTAAAAGAAGAGTGGCATCAATACTTTTGCATACTGTTAAATCGATAAATCCGTTTAAAACAGCTGATTACTAACGTGTGGTCAATGGCGATATTTTCGTTATTCTTGATATTGAAATATTAATAAATGTCTTCTTATGTGACAAACACAAACTTAACTTGGAACATTGATCATAAATATATAAATCTGCTCTCTGCTTTGTTATATTCATACAAGAAAATATCAAACAACGATAGATTGAGCAAATCACGTTCGATACTTATATTGTAATCACTAACAATGTAAACTAAACCAAAACAAACCAAATTTACAGTTTGTTTATATTTTGCCAATTTTGAAGCTAAATTGTTTTATCAGGTGATTTGTCAATTATATATATTCATAGCCAATGACTTGGACATTTGATCATAGCTGTTAGTAATGCGAGTAATCAAGTAAGTACATTTGTTACTTATGTTCATTTAGTAAATAATTAAATTTTGTGTAACAGATGTCGACCGATAGCAATTCGAAATCATAGCTTCTTTTTGTATGTCACCGAATTGTAAATGGTGAATTGCCCAGTGGTAACTATTATGAATATGTTATTGTATATATTCTCTACAAAATGCTGAATTTAAACGATGATTGTCTTCTTTACATTATAACATTATTAAACCAAAATGATCAACTGCAATTAAAACGCGTGTGTATACGTTTAAATAACTTAGTAAATATTTATTGGTATCATAAATATAAAAAATGGAGTAGATATGACACGAAATATCAAAATAAGAAAGCATTGCTATGGATGATATATCATTTACATGATTACATTGATGACTTGAATTTAGGCTGCTTGCAAACGGATGATATGGATATTTTGGGAAGTTATGTATTTCCTAATACACATACACTAATAGCTGATGCTGAGATTGTAGAAACAAATGCATTAAATGTACTTCCTAAAGTATTTCCAAACTTAAATAAAATAAATTTAGTCGCCAATATTAATATGAATGTAATTGCAAAAATGAAATTTTTAACGGAATTAAAATTAGATTACGTTCTATATACAGGCGATTTCAGCTTACAATCTATTTTTACCAATTTAAAGCTACGCAAGTTTAGTTTTGGTTACACAAAAGATGAACCCCGTGAGCTGTATAACAATTTCAATGATATTCATAGCATTATTCAATGTCAAACGTTAGAGGAGTTTTCCACAAATGCCGAGTTATTAAATATTATAGCCGATAAGCTATCTGAATTAAGAAATCTTAAGTTAATTGGTTGCTTTATACATTCTAACGATCATGAATACGAGCCCATCTACGACAAGATCGTTGAAATATTTGGTTTGAGAATACATACACTGATTAGCGATAGTTTTATAAGTTATTTTCCTATGCAAATTCTATTAAAAATGCCAAATTTAAGAAAATGGATTATGAAGGATCGTTTTGTGAGTCGATTCGATAAAAATGTTTTAGCAAAGAGCTTAACAAACTTGGAAGAATTGCTGTTGATAAATATAAAAAATATTTTACCAATAAATGGCAACAGTTTTGAGATTTTTGCTGAAGACTATTCGGATTTAAATATATTTGAACTTATTAGTGCTTGTAAAAAGCTGCGAGTGTTGGGTATACCTATGGAATGGCTAAATAAAGAGTTGAGTTTGACAGAACTTTATAATCTCTTACGCGATAAAGGTGAAAAAGGATCACGCTTAGAGGTGCAATTTTTTACGTTCGAATCAAACGCTGACGTCAAAAAGGTGCTTATATAATTTATACAATTACTAACATGTGGAAAGGTTCTGATACAGTAAATGATGTTAATAATGAAATTTAAATAAGGATTTTGGCTTGAGCTATATATTTTAGTTATATTGATAGTTCAATAAATATTTTTCTTTATAATTATTTTAGCAATTGACGGAAAATTATGAAGACCAAATGATTATTACCCAGACGTGTTTTCCGAAAGAAGAAATTGACCGTTATTCTTTGCATTACTTCAGTGAGCGCTTATTTGAGATACAGTTCTAAACATTACATAATTAATTACGTAAATTACTATTTTTTAAATTTATGTACAGATGAACGTGTAAATTTTGTTATAACTTTTAAACTGAAAAATATATTTATGGATGTTTTTGGAAGTTATTACCAAAGTGTAGATATTAAACCTAAACCACTAAGAATTGTTCTGGAATTCAGTTTGTTTTTGTTGATTGCATCAAAAGCTAATGCTACGATCGTCCTTTCACAGGGTGGCGTCGGGTTTAGGCCATGAACTATCTGATGTTGTTGTTGTTGTAGCGGCAGAATTCTGCCGAATTGACATTCCTTGGTCGGAATAAACCCGGGTCCGTTCCGGTTACGTAGACCCGACTGTCGTGGGAACGGATGAACTATCTGATCGTTTATGACGCCAAGTGCTGTGGTCTGCTAGGCTCAGGTGGTGAGTGTCTTCACTACTGGGGAAAGGAGAGTTATCGGGCAATACCACTTCCCTTTGCTGGTGGTGATTTTGGCCTGTTGATGACTCTCGACTGAAATAGAGACGCAGGATGGCTACATCCATTTTAAAGTAGAGTTCGGGTCGAGCCTCTTGACGCAAACGCAGCGGAAATATTCCTCACGGCCCGGGTTGGACTCAATGCCAACTCTGGTCAGAAGGATGCGGAGCAACCCTGTTGCTAGGAGTTGCTCCATTGAAGACAATCTTAACCTAAGACTCACTGATCTAAACGGGATTAGATCGCCGAAATAACAGCCTTTGCCGGAAAAAATCCGGGACAATTCCCAAAACCGGCTTTCTTGGGTACTGTTTTTTAAACAATGCTAGAACTCATTTCTAAAATTATAATGAATTTTAAATATTTGGTAACACCTTTCACTTTTTGGCGTTATTCTTTTTCAATAGTTTCGTAAACAAACCAAAATTGTAAAACGGGTCCATGGTGGGCATAAATAACAGGGGTGTATTAAAATGTCAACTCTTGAAATATAGCTTGATTTATGAAAAGTTTTCAATAATTATAATTGTGTATTTAAAGTCTTTTCTATAACTAGCTAACCGCTGAAAACGTAAGTATGAAATTGCTTTGGAAATAGTTTCGTGTGAATTTCAGTTTGAAAATGTTTACTTTCTGTTAACAGCGAACCCTGTGCAAACTACTATTTGTAATTTTGGTCAGCTTTCGATTTGCTATTGTTCTTGGTTTATTTCATTTTCGACCTCGGTTTGGCTTCTTTGATTCCATCTAGTTATAATTAATTATATAGCTTAAATAATTAACCAAGATAAAAGTGAGAATGACATTATAAGTGTAAAATAAAAGTGGATAGTGTGGAACTAAAGATAAACATTGCTGGCTAAATGTTTGTAAAATTGAATGGTACTTATAGCTTTTATGTTAAAGATGTTTGTTAGCTTAAAATTGCATGGTACGGTGTAGATAAAAGGGAGCTTTTCATACATATATTTATATGTGATGACTGATAAGCAATTAAAACTCGAACGTTTTGTAGGAACTATTTTTTTTTTAATATGTAGAGAATTAAAAAAACGAAAAGTATAGGTATAAAGTATAGAAAAATTAACCAGGAAGGAGAAAACATAAGAAAAGATAAGTGCTAAACGATAACTAAGAGAAGAGTAAAAGCGTCTTTCATGCAAAGCGTGTTGCCATACTAAGTAGTGGATTGGGATAAGTAACTTTTCAGAATTTGGTACATTTCAAAATGATTTCTTAAATATGAATATGCTATGTTTAGTCATGCTATAAATAACTCCATTCGCAGTTAATCGCTGTTAAGTGGAAATTAATTGTAAATTTTGTTTTAGAATCTAACTTAAAACGATTTTGATTCAAGTGTGAGATTAAGCTTTTTTTTTACTAGTACGTTGACGTATCTATATTCTCTCTTGTACTTTATTCAACTCGATAGCTTTGTTGTTGAATATATGTGTTGTAATTTTATAATTAATAAGGCTTTAATTTTTAGTTTTTTTTTTTTTTGTAGTTTTAGTTCAAGTTTTTTAAGTCCGAATTGACAATTCCAATCGTCGTACTTGTGTACGTGTCATCATTCATCTCTTTCTTACGCAAATCCTTATAAGTTCCACGTTGTGTATGGGTTAGTTTCCGCGATATTTCCTTTTTGTTTTGTATGTACTGGGAGTTTTGGTAGCCATGACTTGCTGACACGTTCATTATCGACAGAAATCAAAATTATACGATACTGGCATCACCTTCAGCTTTCGTTGTTTTCTTCCTTTTTATATCATTTGTTGTTTCTGTTTCGTTATCATTGCTTTTATTTAAGTTTTATCGGTTGTTATTTTTGTGGTAGGCTTTCATTCTCGTGTTCGTTTCTTTTTGTTCGTTGACGGTTGTATAGTTTAAGGGGGGTGATGATTTAATTTTACAAGAAAAGTCTTGATGAGGGGTTCAATAGACTTCAACAGAGCAGAGCTGTGTAAACGACGTAGAATCGCTCGACATAGGAAAGTACTGTGAACATAACGAAACAGTCATTTGGAATAGGAACTCACAATTTATAAAAGTAAGAGGTATTGCTTAAAAAGATAGTTGCTAAGTTGTGATAAAAAGCAAAATTTTAGTTATTTTTAATTATGCTGTAATTTCAAGCAGATAACTATATGGGATTTAGAGTAGACAAAAGCAATAAAAATATAGATAATCTAACAATGGCGGAAATTGTAAACTTCTTAATCACGGATATAAAAAAAGCAATTTGTGTATGTGTGTTTGTATTTGTTGCTAATGCTGAAACCTATATAAAACCAAAAACAAGTGCTTTTCCGTGGACTTTCATAGTTTTGCTATGTTTTGTCAAACAGTAGCGCACCTTTTCCATTCATATCATATATTTTTATGTATTAGCTATCAATAGTTTTTACTAATTCTACTCTGCAATTGCAAATAAACTGAATGATATGTGCACATGCATTAAGACATTTAGTGTATAATATGTGTATTTATGTTTCTATTGAGCATTCATGCTTCAACTATTTAATAATGCATATTCACTCAGTATATGTATGTATGTTTGTATAGACATACTACATATGTTTCTAAGATACGTACATATATACGGTCATGTATGTATTCATTTGATAGAGGCTCGTACATTATAAATTATGTATGTGTACAAAAATGTATATGAATACATGTTTTTAGTATGCATATACATAGGTTTGTATATATGAATGTTATACTCGTATATAACATACACACATCATACAACTATCTTTATATTAATGTATATATCCACACATAACTAGATTGTTAGAGCGATACGAATATTAAATAAAGTGAGAACGTAGTGGAGACGGAGGCTCCAAAAGCGCACGCAATGCTGGTGAAGTGGAAGTGATCACATGAAAAATTGCTGAGCCAAGCAGCAGCTAAAACAACAGCAGCAGCATAATTTGGTCGTCAATTTCAATTTGCAACAGCAGTAAATGCAACTGTAATCCAATCAGCAACAACAGTAACAATATCACCAAAAGCCGTTTGATCATATATCATTACCAACATTTCATGAAATAAATGCTAACATAAGGTAAGTTCCAATAAAATACAATAAATAAGTTAAAAATTTAATAGCCAATAATATTTATACCCATTATATAATATATTAGGCAGTTGCAAATTGTTAACTGCATGGTCTTTTACAGTTTCCAGCGACATTTCAATTCATATATTCCTGTTTGAAAATTTAACTCTACACATGTAAAGTGGATATTTAAGCGTGTACAACTAAATCTTTTTTATATTGGCGAAATGGTATCGACGCGTCAAATGGCCACAAATTGTGGCAACGGCATACACAATCAAAATTCTGCCACTTCAGATTCCGCCCGACTCAATCCAATGTCCACACAAACTCAACGTGGTATGATAGCAGCAACAACAATGCCTACACGTCAATGTGGCCATCATCAGAACATTCAACAAAACCAACAACAACAGCTGGTTAAAGGGAATGACACAGCCGCCACCTCTGCCACAATAGAGAATACAGTCACAGTGCAGTTACTTGATATGCCCGTCGAAGTTTTAGCCAAAATATTTGCCTATGTAGGCTATCGCAAAGTTGGTCAAATGAGAGTAGTAAGTATTGTGGCACAATTTGCTACAAACATTTTTATTGAGTATTCTTATTATGAGTCGAGCTGAGTCGGTTAAGCCATGTTCGTCTACCGCCTTTAGTTTTTGCGATATCAATCTGAAAATTTTCACACTTCCGATATCAACAAACTAATCGATCAATATCAAGTCGAATTATGGAAAACCTTTTAATTTGACAAGATATATTAACGAACTCTGGCGCAGATTATTGTTTAAAGTAGCATTACAATCTCCGAAGAAACTGTTTGGTTCCAGACAACCATAGCATATAGCTGCTATACAAAACGATCGTTCAATACCAAGATAATGCTATAAGAAATGCAAATGTGAGGGGTATTAAGCTTCGGTGGAGGCGAATTTAAAGTTTTTTCTTGTTTTACTTTTATTTGCTTATTAAAACAAAAATTAAAATTTTAGTCCAACTTACTTTAAAATAAATTATTAATTTTTTTGTATATTGTAGTGATTTAGTCAGTACATAACAGTTTTTTGGGTTTTATGGTGGATTCGCATATTAACCAATTGAAAAGCTAAAAAGTAATTAAATTTACTGTTATTTGTCTGCTAACAGATTTCTCGCAGAATGAACGACGTTTGTATGGACATATTGAATTCGACATTTTCACGTCTTATTACGCAAACATATAATCGTTTTCATGCCATTAAAGCGAATATGCCGCGTCGCGAATCTGCGCGTCGCAATCATCCATTGGCATGTGAATGTGATATTATTGAAACATGTTATATGCGTTTGTCGCTGTTGCAAATGACTTTTGGTAAACATATCGAACGTGGCCACTGTTGTTTCTTTCCAGGAGCCGTAAGTTTTTTGCAATTATTTTTATTATATACAAATATTTGTAATTTCAATAAATTATTTACAGATTTTAGATGAAGTATACAATATTTTAACTTACATAAGGAATACACCGCGTCTTGAGCGGCCTTATCGGGTTACCGATGAACTTTTTGATCTCTCTACAATGGCCATGGAATACTTTAGGGATCGTATTGAACAAACGTTGCCCGATATTGCTTACTTTAATAAGGACTTTTTTAAATTGCCCACCACCACAAAAAGACGTAAGTATATAAAATCAAATTGTAATATACATATATGTATGTATTCCTATGTGTATGTTATTCGCTAGCTGCTTTGGTTGCATCTGTTGATCATGCGGATAGCGCCTCAACGTCGCCACCACAAAGTAACATGGTATTGCGTAAAGGTATACGTAAAATCAAGCAAGGCATGAAAATATACAATAACCAGTTGTCGGTATTGCGAAATGAGCTACGCACTTGTAAACGAAAATCGTCGGAGCAGGGCAAGCAAATTGCCGAACAGCAAAAATTGTTGGCCGAACAGCAGAAACAAACATTGGAGTACGCCAATCGCTTGGACGAGAATGATAAGAAAAACGAAGAGATGGCACGTAAATTTTCGACTTTGTTGCAGGTAAAAACAAAATGAAGTCAATGAAATTTCATATAAAAATTTAAAATTATCTCATTTTATTTTCGCATATTATTATTGAAAACATTTTTGTTTTGCTTAATTATATGTCAGGAACTCAATAAGTGTAAAACCGAACTGCAATATTGGCGCTCCAAAAGTCCAGCCATACCGATTTGTACTTCATGTGGACAAAAGTTGGCACCGTCACTACCGCCGCCCGAAGATTTTCAAGCATTGGTCAATCAAGGTGTTAAACCCGAGGACATAATACTGAATTTAGGTGACGATACCGACATTGGAAGGAATGAAAATGCGTATGAAACTCACAGTGGCGCATTAACAGCAATACCGACACAATTGACGCAAGCTGCGTCAGTATTTGCATTTCCGGATAAAGATACTACCGCAAAACTGTTGGCCGTTAGCAGCACGGTAAACAAGAATCAACTGAAGCGTCAACATTTTAGTGCCAGTTCAATGTCCTCCAACTTGCCAACTGCAAGCAATGATGGTCATAGCGCTTTCAATATTTATGCCGGTGGCAGTAGCAGCAATAACGGTAATAGCGCTAATTGTTGCAGCTGTCAGCTGAATACAGCTGCTGACAATCAGCCTGCTGGCACGCATACAAATGCAACAACAAGCAATGAAAATTTTAAAGAATTTAGCAATGCCACCGACGCTGATAATGGACGCATGTGCGCAGTTGCGCAATCGCTGCCAAGCGAGATGACAAATCGCTTGAGTTATGTGCGCGGTAGCAATATAATACGAACTACCGCAACCGCTGCCAGCAACAGCAACAATAATTGGTATGGCCTGCAACTGGAGCGGCAACAAAACAATCCGACCACAAACATTTCTAAAACGATTGGAGGAGATATTGCTGTAAGCGCTGATCTGACGGATGAGCTGATAGCAACAGTCTCTTATGGCGTCATGGACAGCGCTAGCAGCATTAAATTGCCACAAGTAGTGGGCGCGCGCTCACATAAAAGCGTTATCGTTAGTCCAGCCATGTTGTTAGCCACCAAAGGCGGCAGCTGCAATGGTGAGCCCCATGTCGGCATACAATTGACAGCCAAGGGAGTCAGTGATATAAATGTTGAAAATAGCAGCGGTGCAATGCCATTACTATCTGGCGCCATAGATGGTAGCAGTGGTGGTGTTGGTGGTGATGGTGAGGAGCTGTCGGTGGAGCATGTTGTTAGCTTACAGGCAATCACCTCACACGATACAAAAAAAGCACGTAGAGTACAAAAAGCCACGAGATGTTTAAATGGTAGTGGCAAACGCAGTAAATAGTAATCTTATATCTATAATATTTTAAATGTAACACTTTTACTGTAGTGTTTTCCTTTTACTATTCGAATACATAAAATAAGAGTGATGGTAGAATGAAAAACCAGAAAGGGAAAAGTGAAAAATTAGAAAAGCGTACCAGTATGCTACCGAAAGAAAAAAACAACAACAACAACAATAAAAACATATAAATGTAAGGAATGGCAGTAACGGCAATAGTTCGCAGTTGGCTTTGTGGTTTTCTATTAAACAAACTGTAACACACACATACATATATTTGCATATAATTTAATGCAGTTATATACATATGTATTGTATTCAGTTGGAAATAAAAAATTCTAACTTCGTAGGCATCGTGATAATTTTTTTTTTTAATATTAATTTTCCATTGTAAATTTTTACTGCAAATTATTTTTTAAACACAATAAATACAGTCTTCAAAAATGTCTCAACGTCCCAACTAGTTGGCACTTTCACACACCCATATACAACATACACACGTGTAAACGCATTTTGTAACGTACACATATAAATAAATATAATAATTATTATTATATAACACGCAAAATATTGTAACGTTTGAAAATAACAAAAGGGGGAAAATGCAAAGAGCTAACGTTTCAAATGTTAAAAAGGCATAGAGCATTGTACGATATGTAGACTCTCAAAAACTATGTGTTTAAAATCAAACTATACATATACCCAAAATACAATAAACATTAATATTTGAATTGGTTAAAAACAATAGCCAGCAAAAGAGAACAACAAACATTACTAATTGTGTGTTGTTCGCTATTTTTTCTCATTACTAATATTTAGCGAAAAAAAACGCCAACGAATTCATATTTTTTATTTTATTTTGCATATAGCAAACTCAAAAACAAACAAAAAATAAACAAAAAGAACTGTAGTTTGAAACTTAATGACAGATAAATTGGCGTTTTAGCAGTTTTAAGTTTTCTGTGTATGAAATAAAAATGATTTAAAACCAATTAAAAATCGTTTTTTCAATTAATCGGCCAGTGCAGTAGCCTTTGAAAATGGTAAAATAGTCATAGCACGTTGGAACCCATTGGAAAAAGCAATATAAAATCACAAAAATGAAAAAATAATTTACGGCGTTCCGTAGGTCGTGAAGATGAATGGGGAGAGAGATGGTTGAATTTTTCAGGGTCATAAACGGTTTATCTCCAATTCCCACAATACTACCAGAGAAAAAAAGTTATATGGCAAAGTTGTAAGTAGTGAGAATATCTGCAACTTTTGTATTCACACCTTTCTCACATAAGCTCAAAATTTAGGTGAAAAATTGAAATACCCAAGTTATTTTTTTTTTATTTTTACCTTTTACAACAAAAAAATGTTAAGAAATTTGTCGTAAACTAACGTTTTTATGTCCGAAACACACTGTATTTTATTTTATTTGTACTAAATATTTATATTTTCTTCTAAATTGGGCTTGATATCGAAAAACAGCGTAATTTTAAATCGAAAATTCTTACGTCAAAATTGAAGCTTTTTGTTTTAAATTTGCTGGTATTTACATGTGTTTTTTGAAATCTTTATTTTTTGAAGGTGTAAAAATATGCATTCCATTTTTTACCAAAAAATACAAAAAAATAATGTGTGTACATTTGTATACATATTTGAGTATATTTTTCAAAAATTTGAATTTTAACTTTATGTAATCGGCCCCCAAAGCTTTAGACATGTTATTCTCGAAACGCTGTTTTGCGGTGTGGAACATTTTTGCGAAACGGCTGGACCAATTGTCTTTCACTCGATCTTCTTAGATACATAAGTGTGTATATTTGTCAGGTAATGATCGCAAAAATATTATTTTTGATAATAATTTCGATTTTCATCCCCTCTGAAGTGTACACTTTTTCACAATAAACGACTGTTTTTTGGAATACGTAATTTTGTCAAAAAAAAAAAATAAAAATAAATAAATAAAAAATACTTTGTATATATACAATGTGTTATTATGATATTTGTTTATTTGGTTTTTAGGTTTGAGATAATTTTAAGTAGAAAATTTTTCCTTCCTGGCAGACACCTTTTTTCCGGGGGGTGCTTCTGATCAGCTACGGCAGCAAGAAAATCCAAAAAAAAATAAACAATTTTACACTTTTCCTGCGTGTGACCATGAGAAATTATCTACAATGTTATTCAATATGTAAGCTGAAATAAATATCAGAAGATCAATGCATATACTGGCAGATTAATTGAAAAATTAACTGACTTCAGGTACGATGACGAATCATAGACAATAGAAATAGCAACAGCGTCACCCATTAGTCTACCAGACTTTCATTTCACGCATTACCTGAAGCTGGAGGTGATAAATGACACATAGTATGGTATTGTATGTGTGCTAAGCAATAAATCGTTACAACAACAAGTCAGTATTCGGTGGCGGCCATTCCGCAACAGTTATTAATGATGGCGTACTGCTATGGTGTACAAAATAAACATTCGTTCAGCATTTTTTAAGATGGCGTTACATTTTAATGTCGCACAATACCAATCAACTCTTTACGAGTCTCTAAAGCCGAGCGATTGTGACAGCACACAGGTGGCAGGTGTTTCGATTATTTTGCTAAGAATTGAAAAGTTTCAAAATGTAATAAACAATAAAAATCGATTTCTAATAAAAAAAAAATATTACATATGTAGATATCTTCTGTCTAGCGGTATTCTATTTTATAAAATACTAAGCTGTAGTATTTAGGCATACATACATACATATATACAACACACAATAATATATTTGCACATTTATACCTAAATAGCACATCTGCCCAAGAGTGGCGTAAATATGTTTGTGCTCAGGAAGGCAGAAATTTTCGTTTGCTTTTTAAAACTAAAAATATCCCTTTAAGAGTTCCCTGCTTACTGCAAAAAAAGAAAAGTTATAAATAAATAACGTAATCACATTAAGACAAAATTTAGCGAGCCGCAACCGAATGGGTAAAATATACAAACATGCATACGAAGATACATATGTACGCAAATACTCGTATGTATAGTATTGTATTGTATTTAAAAATAATTTTAAATTAACGCACAAATCGGCTCTTCTTTCGTACATGATCTGCAAGTAATTAGTTAGTAGCATTGCCAGCCGGATGCATTTGATAAATACCGTGCTGCATACAACCCCTCATCAATTGCTTCACATGTGAGCAGTGAAGACGAAGTCCACTAAGTATGTCGAATCTCCGCATAACAGGCTCAAACTAAGCTCACCATTTTACTCGTAATTACTCGTACATTCCTTTCATCTAACTCGGAACCAGCGTTCCAATCGTTTGTGTTTATAACATCAATTAAATAAAATACTATTTTTCTAAATATGCTTGATGTTACATTCCCCGATCATATTAAAAAATATTGGCGATTTCTGGGGCTTAATTCAAAGCGCTTGTCGTCAGGTGGCAAGGTTGTTTTAAGATAATTTTCATGCTTTCAATTAGTATGGTGTAAATTTGTTTCCTTTGAAATAAACTAGATGAGGAGTAGCTATTGAGTGTTTAGATGCCTCTAAAGTACCCTACAGATTGCTCATAAAAATAGATAATCTTCACAATACAAATTGATAACAGCTCTGCTATCCACATATGTATGTACATGTATTTAAGTTACGATGTTTAAAACTGAAAATAAAAATCAAAAACAAATTTTTTATTACACAACAAATAACAAATGAAATAAAAATAAAATACAATACAATTTTTATAATGGTAATTAACCCTTACCCGCCACTGTAGGGCACTTGGATCCCAGAGCAATTGGCTTTTGTAGTTAGTGTCTGCTTCTTGTCGATTTTTTATTGCTCAATTACGAAGCGATCGCGGTTGGCACAGACAATACGTAAAGCACGTTAGGCATTTAAGATTTTTATGCTGAAATGCAAAGTTTAAGTGAAAAAGTGAAGATTGTCAAAAATTCTAGTACTCCAAGGTTTGTTAATACGTTTGTTTGTAAAAAGTGTTAAAAAAGTCAATAAAATAAAATTTATATTTCAACACAATAAAATTAAATTAAAATTCTATTACATAATTTACAAAGATTTATACAAACATACAAGTATAATTAAGTAATAAAAGGTTTTAAAAGAATGACAAAATTATAAAATAATATTTAAAACAAATAATTTTTACAAAATTTATTTAATTAAATTTTTTTCATGAAAAATATATAATTTTTTTTTCTAAAAAAAAAAATAAAACAAATTCATATGAAACGTTGTTTTTAGGCACTATAAAATTATAAAGGAAATGAAATAAAACAAAAATTAAATAAAATTCCGTGTTTAAAAATTAGCAACACAATATTTTTAGTAAACAGAATTGTATGTAGACTCTTAGTAAAAAAGTTAAAATTCTATAAGACAATGAAAAATTTGTGAAATAAGGGCAATATAACAACAAAAATTAAATATATATATATTATATATGGTTTATGCATTAATTCGTGCGGTTTTCTAAGAGAGGGCTCTACTAGTATTATTTCGCGTCGTATTCATCTGTGGCTATATTCATTTCAAAGGTACTGCCATTTCGCGTCGTTTTCAGTAGATATAAATTGTTTGAGCGTGAACAACAATTTGTTTCATTCATTTGAAAATGTCGAAATTTGTACCAGAGTGTTTTTGCGGGGAGTTCTTCTTCATTATTTTAACATGAAGAAAAGTGCTGCCGAAAGCCATCGTATTTTACTGGACGTTTATGGTGACCATGCTTTAGCCGAACGAACGTGCCAAAAGTGGTTTGTTTGCACGGTTTAAAAGTGGCAATTTCGACTTAGACGACGGAGAACGACCCGGACAGCCAAACAAACTTCAAGACGAAGAATTGGAGACATTGCTCGACGCAGATGCATGCCAGACGCAAGAAGAACTTGCAAAAGTATTAGGAGTTGATCAAGTAACCGTTTCCAGACAATTAAAATCATTAGGATTCATCCAGAAGCTTGGAAATTGGGTGCCTTATGAATTAAAACCAAGAGACGTCGAACGTCGATTCTGCATGTCGGAAATGTTGCTTCAACGCCACCAAAAGAAGTCGTTTTTGCATCGGATTGTCACTGGCGATGAAAAATGTCCACGGCAAAGCCGAATATCCATGCTGCTAAAGTTATGCTATGTATTTGGTGGGACCACAAGGGTGTGCTCTATTATGAGCTATTGAAATCGGGTCAGACGATCAATGGAGACCTCTACCGAAAACAATTGATTCGTTTGAAAAAGGCCATCGCGGAAAAACGACCAGAATATGCGACCAGACACGAATCAATAATTTTTCATCATGACAACGCTCGGCCACATGTTGCAAGGCCAGTTAAAAACTATTTGGAAAACTGTGGGTGGGAAGTTCTACCTCACCCGCCTTATAGCCCAGACATAGCACCTTCCGATTACCACTTGTTCAGATCAATGCAGAATGCCCTCACCGGAGTACGCTTCTCTTCAGAACAGGGTATCAGAAATTGGGTTGATTCTATCTTGACCTCCAAGCCGGAGAAGTTCTTTTGGGATGGGATCCACAAACTGCCAGAAAGATGGGCAAACATCATAGCTTCCGATGGGCAATACTTTGAACATTAAATGTATAACAATTTTTTACAATAAAGTCTTAATTTTCGTAAAAAAACCGCACGAATTAATGCATACACCCAAAAATATATATTATAAAATATCACCTTATATTTTTTTAGATGAAAATACACGCAATATTTTTTATGCAAAACAATTTAAAAACAAATTTAAATAACAATTATAAAATAAACTTAAAAATAATTAATATGAATTTTAGAAAGATAAACCTAAAATTAATACATGTACATATGTATGTACATTAGGGTGTGTAAAAAAACGAATGTTTCTTTTTCGCTTCGTACTTGAAAAAATTGGTTGATAGACCCCTCTAGAAAGGCTCTCAGATACAAAAATTCATAACTCGCTTCCAACTACTTGAAAAAATATCTCGTTTCATAGACTTTGTTGGAATTTGAATGCTTTACAAAATGGGCGCTTACGATTTTTTCGAGAAGTCTTTGAAGTCGATGTTTAAAGGATAAAATTCTCTGTTATCCTTCAAAATAGGCGCCTGAGTCAATGCAAGCATGGCAACGATTAATCCAATTTTCAATACACTTGTTGTAAGCCTCGGCTGGGATGGCTTTCAGTGCCTACAGTGGCCTTCGGTTTCGCCTAGATTGTTGGACAATTTTGACGGCATATTCATAAACCCACATATAGTCGGCAATAATGATGCGTTTGATAAATGTAGTGTCTTCAGTTACGTTATCAAGAATCTCTTTTGCGACCTCTATTCGACGACGTCTTTGATTCAGTTTAAGCAACAAGTTTGCAACATTTTTAACAAAAAATACAAGCAAACTTGTTGTTCAATTTATTTTTATGGTAAAAATGGCCAGACAAACCTTTATCCTTTATACAAATAGCTGCCAAACACCCACTAATTGACATATGAAATCACATCTAATTCACATGAACTTAAAAAAAAGCTTGTACCATTCTAGGAAGAAGGTTTTTATTGATACTTACTTAATTATTTTATTTCCACTTTTTAATTTTTTTCATCATTTTTGCATTTTTAGCCGACACCTTGTGGCTATCGCTGAGCTTTTGCCTGGCGATGTTATATTAGAGGAGCAGCCTCTGCTCGTGGCGCCCTTTTGGGAGTGTGAACAGATGAAATGCAGTCAATGTCTGCAGGACTCCTTCGTAATGTGCAAGTAAATTTATACTCTACAAATAGCCATGCGACCTGCTAATATGCTTTCAACTTTCAACTAAACACGTACTTAACACAATCCCTAACCACACACTCCCACCATACTAATACACAAACATTTGTTTACAGAAAGTGCGAGTTCTTTCCGCTTTGCATCGATTGCACCACACACAATAACTTTGACTGTGATTTCTTCTGCGAGGGCCCAGCCGGCGCTGAGATTTCCAAAAATCTGCTCGTAGAAAATTACGCCATTTTCGGCGTGCTCAAATTACTGTTACTTATGGAGAATCCAGCTACTAGCGAACAGTGCGCAGCTTTGAGCGCGACGCCGGGCGCCACCGTAGTCGATAGTGATGCGTGGCAGGAGCAAGATGTACAAGTCGTCACACCGTTACTACAGTCGGGCATAGCGCGCGGCTTCAAGCGCGTCAAGGTCACACACGAATTACTGCATACACTTTGCTGGCGCATCGACGCCAATGCTTTCGAAGTGACCGCAAGCGATAGCAACACCTTGAAAGGGGTGTATGTGTGCGGCGCACAATTACCGCACAACTGTGTTCCTAATACTGTGGTCACCTTTGACGAATCCTTTCGCTTGATATTGTACGCATCGGTGCGTATACCTGCCGGCGACATAATCTACAATACATACACAAATCCACTAATGGGCACCAGCCAGAGACAGCATGAGCTGCGCTTGACGAAGGGCATAGAGTGCACGTGTGCGCGCTGCAGTGACCCACTGGAACTCGGTACGCACATGAGCTCTCTGAAATGTCCGAAATGCGCAAACGGCTTTGTGGTGTGTCTGGCGCCCATGCGTGACGGTAGGGGTGGTGGTGAATGGAAATGCACCAACTGTGCCGCTACAATGGTGACGGATGTGGTAAAACAATTGCTGGTGGAGGTCGGCGAGGCATTGTTGGTGGCCAACACCGAGCTTTTGGCATACGAAAACTTGCTGGCGAAGTACAGCGCACATTTTCATCAAAATCATTTTGTGTTGGTGGAGATCAAACAGAATATTGCATGCATACTGCGCGCCGTTCTTATGAATCCCATGTGCATACCGGGTAAAGACTTGTTGGAGCGTAAATTGGAATTGTGTGAGGAAATTTTGCCATTGGTGCGTGCTGTGCTGCCGGGTGTCTCGAAGTTGTATGGCATCGCATTATACGAATATTTGTTATCTTATATGGAACTGGCAGAGTTGATTTTTGAGGACAAGGAAGTAGATAATGGAGCGCTGATTTTTCATGTGAGCTTGCCGATATATTCGGGATGTTTGCAACAAAGTATTTACCCTAAAAATGGATTGCATTTTCTTTTATTTAGGAAAAATTGGAGGACGCACGTGACATCGCCGCAAAAGCTAAAGAGATGCTACGTTTCGAACCAAGCAATTCGCCGGAAGGACATTTAGTGAGCCGTATAGCCATGGAACAGAAACGTATCGAGGAGAATTTGCGACAGCTTAATTCCAAGCGCAGTTGCGCTTAAAATATTGTATTATGTAGTGTTAAAAAAATATGCTAGGAACTGGTAACCAATACAGTTTTCGTTAAAAAAAAAGGTTTTCGAGTACATAATTTACGTTGTTTCATTTAAATAAGGTTCGGTTCAAAAGTACCAGAAGAGTTAGATAAGTTTTTAAATAAATTTTGTTAAATATCGTCACATTGAGTTAAGCTTACTTCAAATATCATAACGAAAATTACTAGATTTAAGCGTCTTTTGAGAGCTTACACCGAATATTGAGATTAATTCAAGCTTAGAGCTTTGGAAATACAATTACAGAAGAAAATAGGATGAATATAAGTATGCTATAATAAAGATGAGATAAAAATAAGATTATTAGATAATTAAAATTTTATTGACTAATTTATTGCAAGATCAAGGCAGCTATTGTCATAATTAAGCTTATTCTGAAAGCTATTGCAGCCTTAAACGGTTAGTTAAATTATTAAAAGCCGTCTGGAGGTCGGTAGGATTTTAGTGATTGCATTTTTTAACAGTCTAGTTAAAGCAAAGAATGTATACATTGAAAATTCGCTTGTCATCAACGAGAAGATCGTGCATCTAGATCCATTTTATCTTTGGGGACTTGAGAAATACTTCTTAATAATTTATGTCGGACGGTGAATTTAGTTTCGGTATTATTATTATTCGTCTGTTTGCGCACAAACTTCGTCAGCCGCTTTAAGAGCCCTCTCAGCAGTGTCAATTGACCACAGTGATGTTTTAAATCGCGGCCATTAGAGCTTTTTGTTTACCGCGCCCTTGGAACGACTACTGTTTGTATAAATAACTACACGAAATGGACCCTAACATTTTTGGACTACTCTCAGTCGTCCATATGACCTATGGACTCTCACACAAAACATAAAATATTTATTATGGCAGGATAAAGCACATATTTATAGAGGTAACTGTTCTGTGATAAGAAGCTGAGGCCGCGTGCTCTGACGCAACCGTGCGACTGTATAGAAATGGAGCGCTCTTTTGTAATGCAATTCAGGTTCTCTAACTTTTTGCATTGTTCTCCCATCGTACCTTTCGAACTGTATTCATGTACTTGTATAAATACATACTCGTAGATATGTGCTCATGTATATATGTATGTTCTTATATTGTTAGCTCGCAGACTAGAAATGCATCTTTAAAATTAAATTTACGATGGCTTGCACAAATTACATTCGACGGATGCATTACTTGTGCCATTAGATGACATTTACTCGACTATTTAGTGGGCGCATTCAGCGGCAATGTAACGCATTCGAAAATATTTCAAGCAGTGTTTAAATGTAAAGTTAAATATTTGCTAAAATATACAGTTTACAAGTTTTAAAAGTATTTGCAAATAAATTTAATAAAAAATATTTCCTAACAAACGGTTTATGAAAAGCTTATGGTAAAATTAAAACAAAACACAGGAAACGGTTTTTAAGCACACATAATGTAACTCAACGCGTTGTGTAACGCAAAAATAAAGTTTTTTAAAGAACGAATTTTTGGAGAGCCTCAACTAGTATAATAATTATCACTGAAAGTGCTATGGATGTGTTTGCGAAAAAGTGTATAATCAAGAGCAACGACGAGTTGGGAAGGTAATTTGCTGAAATCCTTGCAATAATTTTCAGTGTGCCTGTTTTCTATTTTTGACTTATTATTATCTTGTATATTAGCTTTATTGTTATATACATATACCGCCTAATAATTCATATTTTATATGTCATGTAGATATGTCACAGCAGCTGTGGATATAAAAGCCGGCGAAACTTTTCTGCTAGAACAACCAATATTGTTGTTGGCTTTAAATGGCGAGAGACGCTGCTCGAATTGCCTGAAATTGACGACACAATTTTGCAGGTAATATTTAGAATATTTTATGAAAGAGAGAGAGAGAGAAAGAGCGAGAGAGATACAGATAGCAAATGTTTTAATGACAAGCAAGCATATACAGGATATATTTCAATGAATTCGATACTGAACGTTTTGATCGAAATAATGGAAAAAGGCAACAGTGAAAGTGTCAAACTTGCATGGTAAATGTAAAAAAAAAGAACCTACAACTTCTTTCATTTCTAAGCCCACGTTCTGGAAAAATCTGGCGTAATCTCTATTTCCACCATTCCTGGCACTTGTTTTACTCTGGCCTAGGTATCAGTACTACTCGTAATGTTTTGCTACTAGGGAACATATTAGGTTCCTCTCCTGTTCATTTTATTTATTTGTAACTGTCCACGGGTGTCCATTGCAGCTAAAGCCGTTAAGAGAGTGCCAGCCATGCGGTTGTAGTTTCGAATACAAATTAAATTTTATTTTATTTTTCTATAGCGCTCTCCCGTCGTTTGTCAATATTGTCTAATTCAGGTAGTTGGCGGAAGCTTAAAATTATATATATATTATATATTTCTAATTATCGTATGACATTAAGAAGCTCCCAACAAATATGGAGAGAAGCTTGTTTAAACGTTCAGTAAAGATGAAAGTCCGGATTACAATAATTAGGTATCGAGAGATTATTATCTTATGAGATAGATAAGTTTTCTTATTCGACTTTAGATATCTTAGCTTTAAAGAGACGAAAACATAATTGGATTCCAAATGGAATTGCAAAGAGGCTCTATAGGCGCGATTTTAGTAATAAACATAGCTTGGCGTCATAGAAATATGGCGATTAATGGTAAAACATTTAAGGTATAAATAGACGAACAAATCAGGCTTAAAATTCTCATTCTAAATCATTAATAACCACTTTAATAGCAACTGCCGCGTCTTTGCGCTCTGTGACAATTGTGTGTCTCACAATGAATACGACTGCCGTTTGCTTGCCGATATGAAAGATTTAGACATTGAATTACTTAAGGAAAATCCCAATACTTATGGACTGCTCAAGTGGCTGCTGCTCCGTGAGGACCCGGAAAACGGTTCATACTACGAACAGTTACTACAAATGGAATCGCATTTGGAAGAGCGGCGCGGCAGTGAAATATGGCAAGAATTGCAAAAAAACATCGTCGAACCCGTGCTCCAAGCGGGCTTGACAAAACATCTGAAGGACGGTCAGAGTGTGGACGAAACGCTGCTGCAAACTTTTTTAGGCATTATTGATGTTAACTGCTTTGAAATACGTGCGCCCGATGAAGGTCAGCTGCGCGGCCTGTATCCACGTACAGCGCTTATGGCGCACAGTTGTGTAGCGAATGTACAGATTAGTAATGATGAAAACTATCTGATGAAAGTCTTTGCAACGTGCGATGTGACGAAAGGAGAATTACTATATAACTGTTACACAAATGTGTTGTTGGTATGTACCATATGATTTCCGAGTTTATTTATTATACCTTATATATTTCTTTATGCCAGGGTACAGATGAGCGGCGTCATCTACTAAAGGAGGGCAAGTATTTCGATTGTAAATGTGAGCGTTGTGAGGATCCCACCGAGTTGGGTTCACATATGAGCAGTTTCATGTGCGCACGTTGTGCTGAGAATAAACAAACTGGCTTCATTGTAAAAATAAAGCAGGAACGAACACAACAAGCGACACAGTTACAAAAATCAACGAAAAGTACCGCCGTCAAGCAATTATGGACATGGAAGTGTCAGGAGTGTGAACACACCCTAACGCCAGATACTGTACAACAACTAATTGAACGTGCTAAAGAAGAAATGTTCCATGCAAAAGAGGATATCACGCGCTACGAACTACTGCTTTCGAAACTAACACGCTACTTTCATCCCAATCACTATCTCTTGTTGGATATAAAACAGAATATAGCGGCTATTTTGCGCTCGATTTTGCAAAATTTTGCACTACAACCGGGTCGTAAGGTATACGAACGCAAAGTGCGTCTCTGTCAGGATGTATTTGGGGTTTTGCAAATAATTCTACCCGGTATTTCACGCCTGAAAGCAATTGTGCTCTACGAAATGGCGAATACACTTGCGGAATTGCATCGAATGCGTTACGACCAGAAGGAGCTCCAGAAGACGGAGTTGGTGGTAAGTTGGGATAGAGCAAGCAATTGTTTAACTATTGTGCACTCATTATATTTAATTTTATTCTCCAAGGAGCTGCTTAAACGTGTTGAAATGATGCTACGCGAATCAGTACGCATGCTACTTTATGAACCGCTTGAAACACCCGAGGGTCAAATGACAAAGAGCATATTGAAGGAGATAAAGGATCTGCAAAACGATGTTAAATATTTGGAGGAAAACTAAATGAAAATAGCAATCATTTTGTAAATATAAAATACTCAAAATAAATGTAAAATTTATATTTAAGAGTTACCAACAGAAAATAGATATCAAAATACACTTATTATAGTCATACCTTTTTAATAACCACAAGATCAATTTTCCATTTATACCCAGTTTGTGGCTCCAAAGTAATCAATTCACTGACATCACTACCAATTAGTGGCCCTGTGCGCCATGGGCAGGCACTTTCTTATAAATGCCCGGCAGACAATAAC